TTTTAGCTGCTAAAGAAAGTGATGAAATTAATTCAGAATTGTGGTGCAATGATCACACAATCCAGATAGTTATTCTTAAAGCAATACTATAATTCAATTGCACTTTCTAAAGCAATAAAAAACTGTACAGATTTAGCATCACACGCACATAGAAGTGGACTCACTACAACCAAGCGTCAAGTTGCTTGTGGAGACTTGGAATTTAGTCCAGGAAATTGACTATTTCATGAACAACACGATGGAATTCTGATTAGAATTCCATCGTGTTGAATTCTTAGAAAAAGATGTAACAGAAATGTTGTACAGAACTGCTTAGAAAAAGACTGAAACAAGATATTTCAGCACGCAGTGCTTCAACGATGACTAAATTGGGTTTAGGAATTGATCATTATTTAGCAGTCAAAACAGCTGAAGAAACACAAATATTTTAGAGTAGTGGAAAATTATAAAGTTGCAGTACCCAATTTTATCAAATTATGCACGAAAATATCTTTGTATATCAGCAACTTCTGCAACTTCGGGAAGGGTTTTTTCTAGGGCTGGTAACGTTGTCACTCCAAGAAGAACTACTTTGCGGTTGAAAATGTTGAAAAAATTGTTTATATAAAAGAAAATATTAAAAGAATAAAAATCAATTCTTAGTTTTCTTTAGTATTTTTAAAGATATGTAATTCTAAATTTATTAAATAAATGACCTTTAAAACTTTGTTTTGTTTTTAACCGAAACTGAACCGAACCAATAAAAAAAAAGTTTAAACCAAATATAAATACAAATTAATAATATTTATTATATTTACTATATAAGCCCAGTTTAAAGCAGTTAAATAGGTAAGTTTTATTGGTTTTAACATTGCATAAACTTATTGTGTAAACTTAATTTTAATCTCTAGAATGTCAGATCAGCAAGAAGAAATTTTTGTAGATGTATCCAAAGACAACTCATCAAATTTGGCGTGAAATTATTTTTTTACGAGAGACAAAAAATTAAGTGGCGCAGTGCATACAGTGTAAGCAGATTTCAAAGATATTGGGTGGATGTACGAGCAAAGCACAACAAGGTATTAAACAAACGAACATTTGATAATGATTAAAGTATTGTTAGTGCGAGTGCTGTTAATTTGATTAGAAAAACCAAAATTTTCACAGATTTTTATAATTCAAAAATTGACGAAGGTTTTGCAGCAGTAATATCTAGAATGATTGCCTTGGACAATTTTTGTACATCAGGTTTAAGAAAATGTTTAATAATGCGTGGGTTTGATGTTCCTAAATCACTCACTAGTTTACAGAAGGTTGTAATGGACAATTATTGACTGGCGAAAAAATTCGCCAGTCAATAATTGCAGATTTTGTTTCCCAAAAAAAGAAAATATTTTTAAATGTCACACTTGACAAGTGAACTTCTTTTCGTAACCAGCATTTTATGAATGTTAACGTATATCAGGAGGTCATGTTTAGAATTAGGGGTTATCTGGTATTAATGGCCAATTTGCGGCTGAGGATTGTGTAATGTTGTTATAAAAGAAGCATAAAATTTGCTAAATAAATATTCACAATGATATTTTGTGCATTGTGACTGACAGTGTCTGAAACGATTCAAAAAGTGAACAGATACCTTGTTAACAAATATTATGTTTTGCCCATCCAATTCAAATTGCTATAGTGAATGTGTTCTGTAAAAAACAAACGGAAGTAGAGGAAGAGAAATATAATAATTAAAGTGAATTAAATCTTGAATCCGATGAATAAAATCTTACTGATGACGAGAATGATGAAAATGGAATGCGGGTAGACATGGGAAATGAAACTGATGTTATAAAAACCACCGAAAATTTCCAGCTACGAGCATTGATCACTAAAACGTGAAAAATTGTTAAAGTATTCCGTCGTTCGTCTTTGAAAAATGAAGTGCTTCAAAAATACGTGAGGCAAGATCGTAAAAAAGAGTTAAAACTTGTATTGGATTCAAAAACAAGATAGAGCAACATGTTGTTCATGTAAGATCGTTTAAATATTATAAAATCTTCATTAAAGAAAGCACTAATTGATGTCAATGCAGACTTTTATATGAAACGGGATGGGATACAGTTTCACAGATACTGAAAAATTTGATACCACTAAAATTAGCTGTTGACGCGTTATGCCGTGCTGACGCCAACCTTGCGGATGCAACATTTAAGTGTATATTACAAAATTCACATGAGGATAAAAAAATTTGTCTTGCATTAAGAAAAGAGCTTAAAATCCAAAATAACCGAAGAAGAACTATATCATCCGATGCTTTACAGTATCTGCATTAGTGATGTAAATTTTCCAGTAAAATTTGATTCAAAATTTACCGGTAAAATTTACCGGTAAATTTACCGGTAAATTTTAATTAGAGAACGGTAAATTTTCCTTTAAAAAATCAAAAAAAAAAAAAAGAAAAAAAAATAAGTAAAAAAAATTTTCAAAATTTACCAGGCGGTAAATTTTCAAAATTTTCCGGTAAATTTACCGGAAAATTTTCCGGTTAATTTTCCGGTTAATTTTACCTTCGCAACACTAATCTGCATAATGGAAAAAAAAAGTCATAAGAGTATTTCTGTTCGTTGTAAAACGGAAATAAATAACTTTGTTCTAACCCTAGCCCGACGTATTATGAAACTTCTTCGGAATTCAATTCAACGAATCCTGAGTCTGATCCTGGTATAGAATCTGAACTTGAACCTTACTAAAGTAGAAGTGAAATCTCCTTGGCGATATTGCTAGAGCAAAAAGTCCAGTAGTCATTTTTACACCCGAGAACAAGATCTTTAAAAAATCATCAATACAATCAGCAATACGAAATGAAATTAAATTTTAAAACGAAAGTGGGTCGCTTTGGAAAATATTTACAATAATCTGTTGTGTATATCTCCAACAAATGATGAAGCTGAGAGAGTTTTTTCCGCTGCTGAAACATTTCGACAAATATCAGGTCTAGACTTAATGATACATTGGATAATTTGTGTATGCTAAGAAGCTTTTTTAAAAATCAGAATTAAATAAAATGTTTTGATACATTATTTTATTTTTCTTATTGAATTTGTTTTGCTTATTTATTTATTTTTTTCATTGAATTTGTTTTGTTTTACTGAGATATTCAAGACAAATATAATTTTAATTAATTTGAAATACTTTGAAACTTTTTTTTTAAATCGAATTTTTTTTTTGCAATTCCGGAATTACATCGGAATTCCGAATTTCATTTCACAATTTCGGAACTCATTTTTCAATAAAATTGGATTCACTAGTCCCTTTCCCTTTCCTCGACTTCGAATGCCTATCCAAAGTTTAGTTCTAAGATATATTTATACAATGAAAAAAATTAGTTTTTAGAGAAAATATTCACTTTTGTTTACCCCGATGAATTTTCAAAGGAAATTCATTAATATAAAACATAAGTTTTTTAAAAAACTGAGCTTTTTCCATAAATAGAAGAAATTCAGGTTTTAAAAATATATAAAATTTCTTATATGAGAAATTTTATAAATTTTCGACAAAAAAAAGGCCCCGAAAATTGGCTTTGCCTAGGGCTCCCTTTAGGATAAATCCGGCCTTATATATATATATATATATATATATATATATATATATATATATATATATATATATATATATATATATATATATATATATATATATATATATATATATATATATATATATATATATACACATATATATATATATATATATGTATATATATATATATATATATATATATATATATATATATATATATATATATATATATATATACATATATATATATATATGTTGGAAAAATAACTCTTGTTTAAGAGTGATAATTATCTTTTTGAAAAAATTGATCAAATTATATTGAAATAGTTTATATATTAAAAAAATGCAACTTTATAATTATAAAGTTGTACTTTTTCATTTTAATGGAGTTTAACCTAGCGTTCTGCTGTATGTGAATTTGTACTTTAAAAAGTCACCAGTTTTCATAAGATTTTTTGTTTTAAACACTTTACATGTATGAAAGTAAAAAATGTAAAAAATAAATATACAATAAAATTTCACATGCTCTTGCAAAATCTAATCAAAGATAAAACGTAAATTATGAATAACTATTATAAATATTTTACTTGTTCAAAATACAATGTGCATCATGTTAGTATTTAATTTGCGCTTTGGTACTATGAAGTGCTTTGGTAGTAATGAAGAATGATAAATAATTATAAAAAGAAAAGCATGTGATTATTTAAACGCATAAACCACACGTTAAATTAAAAAAGAAAACGTTGAAAAATTATTAAAAAATTCAACTAATCAAAAACATAAATTATTGACATTAATTATTAATTAAGTTTGCACTTATGTAATATCTCATTTCAATATTTTCAACAAACGTTTTCTAAAACATTACACATTAAGAGAGGACACTCGCATTGATGATCTGGGTTTCGCAAGGGCAGACACTCGCATTGATTCGGAAGAGTAGACACTCGCATTGATGATCTGCGTTTTGTTTTGCTTACTCCAAAGTTTGTTACGATACTTATCTCATAAAAAACTTTATTCGAAAGATATAAAATCTATAAAAAATGGTGAGAAACTGTTTGTTAAAATTTAAACACACACATGCATGCGCACACACACATATACTTTTTTTCTTTTTAAATCAAATAAAAAAATAGAACGCAGATCTTTATAACACAAATGCAGAAGCTTACGAAACGAGGGTGAAAAAAAAAAAAGATGCAGCTCCCTATTTTGGCAAAAAATGATGAATAACTCATGAAAACAAAATAACAGTTTAATTAATAATGAAGAATTATGTCTCTATATTTAAACATAATGCAAAAGCTTCCCCCAGAGTACTTTTTAGGAAAAATATAACACCAGGGTCGTGCCGAACAACGAAGGCGTGGGGAAGAGAGCTGTAACTGTCAAAAATCTAGTTTTACTAATTATGGTTTTTTTTTTTTTTTTTTTTTAGAAGTCAAATTACGTTTTTGACCAAAAATTTCGAGAATCTACTCTTTTACCGACAGAATATTCTAAATCAGGAAGTGTCCACCCCCGTCGGAACGGTCCTGAATAACACTGCTCTCCCTATCATACTGTATATAATTCACATACAAAAACATTTGCTTCCTATGATTTCACTATAGATTTAAATAAACCAAAAAATATGTTATGAAAAACTTAAATAAAGTGAAAGTTGGTTTCGTTTATAAACTGCGTGTTGAGTGTATAAATTTAATGTCTTGGACGTAATGGCTGTGTGAATTGATTTGATAAATTACTATTTTTAAGATAAACTCTGATTTTCGTTTTTCTTGATGTTGTACAAACCGCCATAAAACCATTCTGACGAAAAGATTTTCTAAAGACAACACAATTTTGTATTATTTCACGTTTAGGTGATAAACAAGTTTCAGAAATAATATTGCACACATTCTTTAGTCTAACATAATATCTGATTCTGTCAAGATTTTGTCGAAAGAAAAGTTTTCTAATGAATTTACAAAGAATACAAGAACTTAAGTCAAAAAATAAGAACAGTGGACAGACATTTATTTCCAAAAACATAATTATATAAGTTTAAAAAAACAAACATTTTGATAATATTTAGTATATTTATTATATTTATTTGTTATACTATATTAAAAAAAACATATTGTATTATTTTAAAAATTCGAAGTTTTATTTTATTACTATTTAATTTTTAAAATATTTTATAAATAATTATTTTATGAGATTTAAATGTTTAAAGGCTGTTGGATACTTGTTTATATTTATATTAATATTTATTCTATTAAGTTGTGAAACACGTTAAAGAACTTTAGTGGTTTAAAAATAAGTAGCAATCCTAAAACCTTTTTCTTCAATCATTGATTCATTATTATATTTAGTCTAACTCAAAAAATTTAACTTTATTTTGGTAGAAAATAGCTTTACAAAGTACTTTGTTTTGTAAAATGTCTCTTGTTTTAAAAACATTTTTAGGTGTTGTTTGTGTTATTCTTATCAAAATATTACTCCCTGTATATCTATTTAACTGTGAGTTGGTGCCCATAACTGTAATCTGTAACCATAGTAGTTAATTGTGAAGGTTGTTGTAGTTATGTATTGATGGATTGAGAAGAGTAAATACCTCTTTTAAAGAAAAACTTTCGTGATTTTCATTTTTCACATTTACGGCTTCAATAGGATTTGGAATTTCGTGAAAAGCAATTTCATTTAATACTGGTTCCTTTATTATCATTTGCTTTGCTCCATAATCAAATTCTTCAATAAAAAAAGGATTTCTGGGTAGTAAGAGAACTTTGTAAAGTTTTTCTGGAACACTGTTTGTCATCAAAAGTTCTAACCATTTTTCATTTACTCGAGCTAACATAAAACCACCATATAAACCATGAGCAAACCTACAATCATTTTTTCTTTATTTTAATTTTATTTATGTTTTTATATTCGAATATATAAACGCACACTAACACGCGCGCACGCACACGCAGATGTTAGCGGTCATAAATACTGCATTTATCAGACAAGAAACTTTTAAATCCGACGCTAAACAGGTTAGTTTTTTTTTCTTCATATAGAAAAGAATATTTAAACGATCTTCTTTCTATTACACAGTCAATTTTATTCTTTTAAAAGTTTTACCAAGATTTGAATTAAATCCGTTTTTTTCGGCATGTATTTAGTGCAGTATGTACATGGCGTTTTAGCGCTTGGTATATGTTTCAGCAAATTTAATACTAATTATATAATAATATATATTTTAACTGTATAGAATGTTTAATATGTCTTTTTTATACTGCTGGTTTTCATTCTTTGTATTTCAAATTACTCATTGATGTTAGAATAACAATAAAAACGCTATATAAGATTTATAACATGTAGATAGAGTAATGAGTTGTAAAAGTAAGTATTATGGCGCAATAGAAAATAATAACAATAGAATAACATTAAAGAAACAATAGAATGACAATAGAATAATTAGAATAACAGGGTATTATGAAATTTTTATTTAAAGAAAAAACTTGTTAAGATCTGCTAAATTTGACATATGAAGCATTTAAATATGCGCTTTAATTTATTATTTTTGGAAAATATTTTAATTACAAATATTTTGTTTGCAGTAGGAGATTATTTAAGTGTTATCGAAATAACTAACGCTAAATGTACAGTTAAAAACTGGCCTGATAAATGTTATATGTATGACCATTATATATGCAAATTGTTTCAGTAAATTTTAAATTTCTTGCTATTAATATTATTATTAATATTATTATTACTATTATTATTGTTATTATTATCAATATTGTTTTAATTATTATACTTTTTATTATTGTAATAGGGAATCATAAAGTTGAATATTAGGTAATAAAATATTAAATATATAAAATATTAAAATAATAATTGGTACACAATTAAAGACAATTTATTCTTTACTTCAGTGAATTTGTTGGGAGTTTTCCTTTGTTTAACATCCGTGAGTCA